ACTTCACTGACCTCAGGAAGAGTTTCAGACCAATACAGACAAGAGAGCGTCCCTGTGAGCTGCCCAAGAAATGGCACTTTGTCCAGTTCTCCCCCACACATTCCCTTATCCTAGAGTTAAACCAATCTCCACCTATCCTGGTTACCTTCTAAATGCTGCCGCTGAAGATGTTCTCTGTTAAAATTATGCAGAGCACAACATAGATGTAGCGAGACTGAATTTAAACTGAAGCTGTAGCTCTCACCACAGGCACACCGGCACCCTCGGGGAACAACCAAAAAACAGACTTCTAGCTATAGACAAACAAGAGCGCTTGCTTCACACTCCCAGATGAGAAAATCATGCCAACGATAGATGTTCAGACATGGGGGCTCGCCTTGCAAACCCACAGCCTGCAGCTAGCCATGGCTGCGGTTTCAGAGCTTGGCCGAATTTCCCCAAACCTGTTTTGGCAGAGAATCGTGCAGCACTGCTTGTGCAAGCGTCCAGCAAGGGGCTAAAGCAAAATGTGTCAGCAGGACAGATCCCAGCCCCGCAGCGAGGTGCTGCTTCAGGCTTGTAAGGGGCTATGCACAAGGCAGTGGCCAGATGCCACCAGCAACAAGCGCAGGTGCAGAATTGGGTCCTGGCTATTGGGGTTGGGTAGGGCTTCTCAATTAAAACTGCCAGTCCCTGAACGTGCTCAGTAAACAAGGGGTTTAGACTGACATTTTTCTGCAAAGAAGGTCATTAGGATGGCGATTCCAAAATAGTCTCCTATTACTTAATTTTGCCAAGCCAAAAAACACTATTTTCTAGCTCACCAGGAGAATAACTTAAAATCCAGGCTAATCACCAAGCAGTATGCTGTTAAACAGGCTAATTAAATGTACTTCCACAGCTCACTTAACTTCCTGACATTAGTCTTTGGCTGTATACTCCTTCCAACAGCAATAAATAAATAAATAAATAAATAAAACCAAAAAACAGGAATGTTTATTCTAAAAATCAATAATTTCATTTGCTCTTCTCTATCAGATTTCAACATTAACCTGGGAACGCCACAACACTTACACTGACCTCTTGTGGCAAGTGCTCGGCAGCGCTCAGACATCCCAGGGAACATCTCTCCCACCCACCCTATCCCGCTCCCAACAAGATGCGCAGAAAGAAATATTAAGCAAATTTTGCAAAGCTGTAAAGGAGATCAAGGAGCAGCTTGTAAAGATCCAGTTATTCCTTTAACTAATAACGACTTTATTTGAGGGGGTCTAAATTAACATGATGGTATGAAGCTGTAGTAATTTAAAACTTAAAAAATTAAAAATGAAAATTAAACCACCTAAATCTCCCCCGACTCCAGCAGGCATCAGATATGCCTCATTTTCAGGATTTGGCCAAGCTGACTGAAGGAGTAAACAAAACAAGGCCCTTGCGATGGAAAACTACTCACAAATGTCATCTAGTAATGCTTCTTAGTGTAACAATCCACTTTGCATTGATTTACATATCAGCGGGTCCCCTGCAGCCACACAAATTGCAAAATCAACCTTGCACCCAAGAAAGCCCCAATAATTTAAGCTCCTTAGTCATCCCTTCACTAACTTCCCCGCAGCCAACAGAACCAGAGGATGGAAACTTTTGCCCCATGATTTTCAGCATCTTTAAGTAGAGATTTATGCAAGTGCTGAGGTCCAGATTTTTTTTTTTGCAGAGGATCCCTAATGACAGACACTCTGTAAACTTGAAGTAACTTGCTTTAAACAGCCTTTTTTTTCCTGCACCAGCTGTAGTTTAGCTTGGAGGAGATGAAAATGCAGCTTGTTTTAATTTGAGGGAGAGGAGCCTACATGTGTCCTGTCCAGTGAGAACAACGTTCTGTAACCCTGCCTGTAAGAAATCAGGTACGCTACTTGGGATAGTATGAAGGATGGAAAAGAGAGCAAACACCTATTTTGTCAGTAATACCAGTCTAATAAAAACGAAGAGGTGTCTTTGTGCTAAAGCTGTGACGTTCACGTCCCCTCCTTCCTGGGGGACCTGCCTGGCCAACAGTCACTTGGGAACTGGGCTGATCCTTTCTCCATCAAACCCAACAGGGCGTAAAGCTCTGTCTGGAGGAGATGATTTGCAGGAACACGGTGCTAAACTGTGCAAGACCTGGAATTAAATGCTAGCTTCATTAAAGCTTATGGTAAAATTCCTTACAGAGCCAAGATTTCAGCTGAAGTGTCAAACACATTTGCGAAAGACCTGAAAAACGCCTTTTTCCAAGGAAGCTTCAAAGAGTTATTGCAATAGAAACAATAACCAGTAATGATGGCTGCTATCATATTTGTCTTTCACTAAATTATGCCCCGCTTCCACGCTGTTAGCACTTTTTATTGCATATTGCTGCAAAGTCCCAGAGTTAACCTTTTTCCAACCTCAACCAAATTACACCCAAAGCAAATTACGCTGGTAACACAAGCTTCATGCTTTTGCTGCTACAAGACGTGAAAGGTGAAGGCAGATGGGCAAGACAGACACATTTCTCTGCCTCGCATCTGCGGCTCAACTTGCCAGGTCCCTTCTGCAGATGGGGCAGGAACACGAAACCCAGGGATTTGCCCAAATTCCCATTCCACCTCCGTGATGCTGAGCTGAGTTCAGTGCCAGCAGGAGCTCTGACTACACCGAAGGAGCAACCCATAATAATAATAGTAATAACAGGCACAGACTGCTGAGAACATCTTAGGAGAGAACATTGCCCTAAGGAAGGGCCTTATTAAAAGCCCAAAACACTAATGGTAGTAGAAAGCAGTCACCTTAATGCGATTTAGCCCACTGCTCCCACAAAACCCTTTTTCTTTCAGCTTAGCAAAACACCTGGTGTTCTCAAGATCAGTGCACAGCCAAGGCTGAGGAGAGATCATATCAACCTGCAGCTCCCAACAAGAAGGACTTTACTCCATGCATTTTCACTGTGCTTTAAAAAAAGTAAAATGTCATAGCACAGAGTGCACCGATCACCCCAAAGATAGGCCTGTGTGCCCAGAGGGCTTGTTCCCATAGTCCCAGGGCAGCAGTGGGGCTAAGGAGGGACCCTGCTCCTTCCTGAAGATTTTGTCTGCTGGGAGTAGAGCACAGTTGCAGGGTGGCCGGACAACTCGCAAAGCAGCTCAGAGCTTACTGTCCACCCCAAAATTATTTGGAAGCCACCTGCAAGGTGCTGCTGCCAGCCGCTGCTCTACAGCACTTGATAAGCTCCAAGGTCTGAAGTCACCTCCAAGAGGTCCCCCCAGCCTGGTGCCCGGACATCCCACCCTGTACCACAGCCACCCCGGCTCCTTCTGCACCACTCCTCGATGTTTCGCTCACGGCTGACCCACATGGAGCATTTCCCTCACGATTTTAACCTCCTCCATAGCCAAAGCTGGGGCAAAAAGGAAATGTTCACAACATTCCTGAACAACAAATCCCTAAATAATGCTGAAAATCAAACTCTGCTCTTAACACCAGGCCGGCCATCACACTCACTGCACACACAGTTCCCACCAGATCCATTCCGACTTTCTGCACTTTAAAAATATTGCAACTTTGTCTGTTTTTGTCTGTTTCTGCTTTGTTGTTCGGATCCATCTCTGCCAACTCTAATTTGTCTGCACCCATGTTTCATTTTTGAAATCCATCGCTTTCATTTCAGACCTGAAGAAGAGCCTATCTGTCAAAATACCTAATTTTTCCCAGCTGTACCTGTTAGCCTAACAGAAGATATTACCTCTATCTACAAGCCTTCTCCTGGTTGTTGAGAAAAGATTTATGGACAAGAAGTGTGATGGGATTGTGTAAGTGTGAGAAATCTCAAAAGAGAGTGTTCTTTAACTAGGACAGACGATGGAAAGGCTTTTTTAAGGATGCTGAAGATGTATTTTAAAAAAATATCATCATTCTTTCCTTTATTCTGTTCCTCAATTTGACGATGAAAAATCTCTCTGAAACTGCTGAATTCAATATAAAAACAAAACCCAGCACAGGGTCAGCATACCAAATCCTAGCTTTCTACCAAGCACTGGCAGGAGATACTTGAACCAGATTTGCTCTAGTGGATACCATTAAGTTCGGATTAAACAGTGCTGAATCCAATGAAAATTACTATTTCTATAAAGGACAAATAAGGCTATGACCTGGATGACAAAAATAAGAACTAAATCATGTTCTAGGGTACAACACTGACCGCTAACATGAGTTAAAAAACAGATTCCCAATCCACTTTTTGCTTCGTTGTCCAGTGGGACATATTTGCTTCCATAACATCACCCTTAAGCAAAGAAAAAGCGGAATGAGTGACCAGATCAGCACCATTTATATGCCCAAATTACGCCAGGTTAAAACCTGAGGGGGGCTAATGTGTTTTTAAAGTATAATGTTCAAAAGCCTGCTGAGGTTTTCTGGGTTTTGACATCTCAAAGCTTTACCGAGCTTTCGCTAGGGAGGACATGTGGTTCAATCAGAGCATGACACAAAAGCATGGTGCTCCCACACCACGGTCCCAGCTCTGTCCCCAGCTTGCCACAAGACCCTGGGAGAACAACTGCGATGCCCAAAGCCCCTTTTACACCAGTTTTAAGAACATGTTGGCAACACCTTTGTGTGTCTGCTTCCACAAGGAGCTGTAAAGAGTAATTAAGTTCCACTTTGAAATTATCAGAGGGAAAGTGCTATATTAAAGTGCTATATAAAAACCCTATTAATTAAGCTTGCATTTAATATTCAGGTAAATAAATACACTATTGCAGGAAATTAGCTTCTAGTGATTGTGCAGCTACAGAGCTTGACAGAGCTGATGGGGTCAATCAAAAGTTGATGTCTTAATGCAACATTTTAAATTCCAGGTCCTCAGTTGCTCACGAATTCACTACTTGCCATCAAAACCAACCCAAGCCAGCACACCAGACTGCGTTAGTATGAACAGAAGGTAAATCCAGACTGGTGCAGTGGAAAGGTGGAAGGAAACACTTTTCAGCAACGTTTCACATCACATTAGTGTCTCGATTAATAATGCATGCAGAAACTTCTGTCCACGCTCTGTTCTGCCCACCTTTCCCATTCCCACTCTCATGCAAGGCAGGGACGGACTGCCCATGAAGAAACCTTTCAGCAGATGCAAAGTTGAGGTCTTTTACCAGAGTTAACTCACAGAAACACTTATGTTTCAGTAGTTCTGTGCCAGTGCAAAAACTAGCTAAAACCAGAAGGTAAGCAGCACAAAACCTGCCTAAAGCAGCATCTACATTCACACACCTATAGAGATGCCTGCAGGCACACCGTAACTTTGACGGAGCTGTGCACAGCGCTCGTGGCCAGTGCTTTGCAAGGGGCTGGAAGGGGAAAGCAAGCCCCAGCAGCGGGGAATTATTTGAATTATTTTCTGCCCGTGTGGTTCTGAAGCAGTCCCGTAACCGCTCGCCCAGCGGAGGAGCGGTGACTGCAGGCACTTCTGCCAGCTTTCTCTCCAGGCACAGGGTTTTACCAGCGCCCCAGCCACAGGCACTGCCTCGTCCCCTCTCCCGGCACCGTCGCCACACGCTTTAAAGTGAGACAGAATTGCAAAGACTTCGAAACGCCGAATGAGACAACGCAAACCCGAACATTGGGGAACCAACGAATGAGAAAGAGGGGAAAAAAAAAAAAACACCCGGCGAGCGGAGAGAAATGACAAGGGGTAACCCTAACTCCCAGAAGGGGCTCACACCAACACCTGCTAGAGACCCGCTGCCTGCAGCACCGACGGCGGGGTGAGAAGGGAGCCGGGGAGGGGGGGACAGGGCAGGGAAAGGCTGGGGCAGGGAGCTTGAGGGACGGATGGACGGACGGAAGGATGGATGGACGGAGGGAAGGAAGGATGACGGACGGCCGCCTAAAAGCGGGGATGCTCCTTCTCACCGCTGGAGCGCCGGACGATGTTCTCCAGGAAGGTGTTCTGCGGTGCCACCAGCCCTCTCTTGCCCCCCGGCATCCTGCAGCGCCGGGCTCGGGGGCCGGGGGTGCGCGGCAGCGGCTGCAGCGGCGGCGGCAGCAGCGGCGGGGGGGGGCCGGCGGCGGCTGCTGCGCCCGGTGCCCGTGAGTCGCGCAGGGGCGGCCGCGGCCGCTCATGGTAGTGGCGCCCCCGCGGCGGCTGCAGCGCGGACTGGGGCCGCGCCGCGCACGGCGCCGCCGAGCGCCGCCGCCCGCCCCCCGATTCCCCCCCCCTCCCTCGGTTGATGTGTCCCCCCCCCCGCGCCTGCGCCGCCCGCCCGGGCCGCCCCGGGCCCGATATGGATGGGAGGAGCCGCGGTGAGATGAACCGAGCCGGGCTGAGCCGCCCCGGGATGCCCCCCGTGGGGTGTCCTCCTCCTTTGCGCGCTGGGTGGCTCTCCAAAACCCCTCCGTCTAAGTTTTCCCCCTGAGCCAAACCCCCCAAAAAATCAGCAAACCCAACACTAAATCCCCGGTTTTGCTTCTCTCACGTATTTATTAAGACGGCGTTCCCATGTGTTTTGGGGAAAAATGATCACAAAGTGCCACATCGCATAATTTGTGCGCAAATAACCACCGTAAAGTGCACTGAAACGTGTTAAAACGCCAGCCTTGCGTGAAGGCATCAACCGTTTGGGGAGGATTCGTCCCTTTTTCAGGGAGAGCGGGTGTGAGGGGGAGGCAACAGGAGGTGGATTTGGGGCTGGAGCCCTCTACTCTGTCATTTTATCCAGCTCCTGTGCCGGAGCTCCGAAGGAGCTCAGCGCAGACACCGCACGCTAACTGCTGCGTAAGCTCTTCCCCACTCTTGACCCCGCCGCATTTCTCCCTCCAGCCTTTTCATTACTCACACGGCGTCTTTTCAAGATACGGACAGGAAAATCCTGGAAGGAAATTCTCCACCTCTTGCTTCTGCCTCTGCTCATTTTGCACGCAGCTACAGGCTAGCAAGGATCGTGGAAGGAAGCGAGAGCTGGAAACCTGCTATTAGCTTGCCTAGGCAATCTCTGCACAGCATGTCCCAGTGTGCTGCTCTCTCCCACCTGCTTCCAGCACCCCCCTTTCCCATACTTGGTCCAAAAAGTTGCACTGAGGTCTCCTGCACCCATCCACTAAGTTAAGCACACGTTGCAGAGCCAGGACTGCTGCTGCTGCCAGCCTGCCCACAGACAGCTGCTGAAAAGCAGAGCTCTGGTTCTGCTTTCATTTAAATCAATGCAAATCAGGAGCAGCTCTATTACAATCACCTCGCGAATGCTGATCTAAAACCACTTTGCGAGGTGAACTATTTGTCAAACACTGGCTCCCCCCCAGCTCTGAAATCTTCAGGGCTTTCCTTAGTGGTGTGGTTTGAAAGATGCTCCTGCTGAGCTCTGCCCCAGATCCCAGGGAACTTGGCTCCTGCTAACCAGTGGGTGGAAGCAGCACCTTCCTTTCTTTCAAGTAAGCAGGAGACACATAAAGACGTCTGTTCACAGGCAAATACCGTGTGACTGACCTGTCTGGGTAGTATTTATCAGACCTCTACTCACCAGCTCCTGCTGTTCCACCCAGTTTGAATTATTATATTCATTTTGCATCCTTGCTTTGAAACCTAGATTTCCCTTCCTGCCTCAGATACACAACATTTTATCAATGCATCGACCCCTTTCTTATTGACCCTTTCTACTAAACATCTCCATCACTTCCATGTAGGCAGCAACAAACTCCAGAGGACACCTCATTTTTTTCCTGGAGCACCGGATGAGGCTAAAGATAACCTTGAAAATAAGAGTCTGATAAGGAAAGCAAAGTGGGAACTGCAAAGAGATTCTCATCTACTTCTTTGGCTCTTCAGACTGTGCTTGCAGACAGCATTATGCCACCACCATGCAGGAAGCTGTCGGAAAGATCTGAGGTCAGTGTAAGTAGGAAAGAAGCAGTTGAGCAATTTCTTAACCAAAAATGCCCCGGTCACAACCAGCTGTTCTTAAACATGGCAGAAAACCTACTGTGGTTCAAAATGCCTTTTTTTTTTTTTAACAAACACAAAACAGAATTATTAAGTCAACACAGTTGGAGCTTTAGGGAACTAATAAGTTTTAAAAACATTTTTAAATGTCTGACCTAAATGTAACCACACTCCTGATGGAAGATCAGCACTTCCCCCCTAGCTTTCAAACTTGGTTTCTTTAAGCACAGAAACAAGCTTTCTTTTCCTAAGTGGTGCTAAAACAAAATGAGCGCATTGCTGTACCAGGATAAAAGAGCAACCACAATTGCTTCCTTTTCTTCTTCACCATTTCTTTTCCTCTGCAATTTCAAACACCTGTTTGGTGTGTTTTATGTCTTTACTTGTACTCCTACAAGAAGCCCAATACCCCATACCTACTGAGCAGCGGGCAAACATCAACTCACACAGCGAGCGGACACAGCACACGCTGCAAAGCTCAGCTACACCTGGTGAAGAGCTGACCCTTTGAATCTAAACCTAAAAAACAGGCTTATTTTACTTAAGGGAGTACTAACCATTTCAAAAATGGTTTTTCACAGAGCTGTGGAATGTATTTTCCACAAATGTATGAACAAAGAATCCTCACCTTGGACTCAGGGGGCACCTAGAAGAGGAGGGAGCCATAGGCCAGCACTCACAGGTCAGACACTGTTCTCTGATGAGCCACCCCAAGTGCTCCAGGTCATTAAAAAATACGAGCTGCTGCTGAACCCTTCACAGCATTGCTATTGCTGTCGGTGTTTGTACATAACAAGGACTCGGGTTCCCTGGGAGCAGCGTGGGCATCCACCAGGAGCCGCCCATGTAGGTTTCAATGCCCTGTGAGCAGGACTGAGGGATGGGATACCCTTGGCAAATGCTCACAGCTGTTTTCTAGCCCAAATGCACACAGAAAACTTCCCAGTCTGAAAACAGTAATCAGAGTGAGCACAAGTTTTAGTTGTAAGCAATGGGATTTGCACACATCAGTCTGTGATCTCCAAAACTAGCAGTGGTTGGTTTCCAAGGGATTTGTGTCTTGTGACTTAGGGGTATATTGCTGAAACAGAGACTCATGTGGGAAACAGGGGAGAAGTCTGAGGCATGCTGTCTCAAGAAAAGCAGGCAGAATTTGCTCACTGAAACACAGAGAATCTGCACATTAGAACACAATAGAAAATATCTTTTGGTATCTGATGAGGCAGGAGTTCCTCAAAAAATCTTTCACTGTGGTTAAAGCATGTCTGCTGCCACACACTAGAGTGAGACAACAGGTGGGCCCACCTGTGGCATCCTTTCTTCTTCGCAGTGGGAGTAATATAAGATCATTCTCTTTTATTTGTTCCAAAAACCTGCCAAGAAGCGTGCATGGGACTCACTGAAAATCTGTATGAGGCAAGCATCTCTAGCCCACTGTTTCCTTCGCCATTCAGGTGAAATCTGAGTTCTGAACTCACCAGGGGCGTGCTAGAGATCATCTTCGACATATGACAGAATTACTTGTTTTTTTTTTTTTGACTACAGACTCAGAAAGGAGGAAATAACTCTGCACGTAGAGGTTTTAAACAGCTGACAATAACCAAGGTAATAGCTGGCAATACCAAGAATACTTAGGAGGGAAAAAAAAAAAATGTGAAGAGGGAATACATTACAGCTTCTTTCCTATTTCTTTATCTTTTGTTTCTTTTCCCTTTAGAAATTTGAAAAAGTGGGTTTGACAGACAGAAAATCAATAAAAGCCCAACAAAAGTTGTTGCTTTTGATATAAAAATAAAAATTGAGGAAAATATTGATGAAAACTCAGAGCCAAAGTACTCACTGGTATCCGATTTGGCACCAGTGAGAATTCTTCCTTCTCTGTTGTGTCATACAAGTTAAGTCTCAACAACCTGACCAGAGGTTATGGATCTCCCATCCCTTAACATATTTGGCAGACCAAGGCAAAGGGATGCAGAACTGAAGATGCTCACAGCATTCAGAGAGGGTTGGGTAGCTGAGGCAAGCACACAAGGAATTTGGAAGAATTAAGACTTCTGTGTATCGTGCATCTAGGATGCATTCAGGATAGTGCTCAGTGAACGGGTAACTCAGTGATTCCCCTTACATTTCTCATTCAGCATGGCCCTGTGCCATTTGCTGGGGATCCAGCCAAACTCTGCTCAGGCATGGAGTGATTCATTTCTTCGTGGTGCTCTTCACTAATCTCCTAGTGCTTGGTAGGCATCAGTGATTTCTGCATTTTTCCTTGTCATAAGGGATCAGACAGGAAATTGGGCACAGTGAGATTAAGGTCAAAATCAACCTGAAGTAAAAATCAACCAGTGTCCAACCTGAGACAATCCAGCTTATGGAAAAGACCAGAGCAGGGGGCTCTGGACACAGGCTCAGGTTACTCTTGCAGCTTCATGGAAGAGCCCTGTAAACAGATTCAAATATAGGTCCTTGCTTACTTTTAGCATGAGACATTTTTAAGGACCTTGCCTTATTGCTTCACACCTTTCATTTTCACTAGCATGCACACCGAAGTTGTAACAGGCCAAAGGTGCAGAGACACTGCAAGCAAGTGAGGGAGATGTACATACACACATACACAAACTCTGTGTGGAATGTAACTGGAAATTGTGTCACAATGAACATACATAAGGAAGAAGTAATTATCACATAGGTATAGCTTCTCTTTGGTGTACATGACTTAGAAATCCCAACTTTACTTTTCCACAAAACTTTTCTTAAGGCAGAATCTGAGGCTTGGGAAGAAAAGCCTGAGGAATAGTCTCATTTTATGATCATCGTTTTTCATATTTCACCCTGCAAAGTCTGTGCTTCGGTTATCATCAGACCAGCTGTGCAGTCCACAGGGGAGCCATTAGAGCTTCCAAAATGACCTCAAGTAACTTCTAATTTAACCATGCCAAAACTTTCAAAGTCCATTATCACAGCACCAGGCAGGTTCTGCAAGGTCCAAACCAAGACGCCTGTGGAGCTTCTTGCAGGAAAGCAGGGAATTTCCTTCTCTTCAAGGGCACAGATTTCATATTTCTAATCCTGCAAGGAAAATTTTGCAGATGCTGCAGCACATTCACTGCTAGAAAAACAGGTCCCATCCTTCAGGAGAGAAGAGGTAGGAATCTCAAACTTCTGTTTGGAAACGTGAGGAGGACAGAGTCCTCTGAGGTAACCTAAAAAAAAATAAAATAGTAAGGCCAGTACCACAGGATG